CCCCACAAGCCTTAATCTGGTCCTTTCTGTACCCTTGAACCAACTTTCTTTCTCTGCCCCCCACAACCCTAAAAACAAAAGTTCAAGGAATCACTTATCTTTCTTAAAAAGACTATATTACTTTATAAGTGCCCCGAAAATTTGCATTTGTTACTCTGGAATGAGATTGAGCTGGACACTCACCTCTGTCCCTAAATCCCAGCTGTCAAGCCTTTGCCCAGGCTTCCCCCTCTTAGGAATTTAGTTTTCTCAAGGTTTGTTTAAGACCCCTTCCACACTCCAAAAGATGAACACCTATTTTTACATAGCAAACTGTAAGGATTTTAACAAAAGAAAGCTGATAAATAACCAGTGGGAACATCTGAATTATTTATAAAAAATTCAGCTACAAAGTTTTCAAGTCACGAATAAAGTACAGACTCTAGCTAATATCTCCATATATATAGTTTGAAGAGTCTTAGTAATTTTAAATTTTATGTTTGGGAAAAAAACGTAAATATGGGATATTATTAGCAATATATTATAACTATTTAAAAATCCATGTATAAGGCAGGGCTCGGTGGCTCCCTGCACTTTGGGAGAATGAAGCAAGTGGATTGCCTTAGCTTGCGCGTTTGAAACCAGCTCGGGGAACTTGGTGAGACCTCATCTCCACAATAAATAAAAAATTAGCTGGGTGTAGAAGCACGTGCTTGTGGTTCCGGCTACTTGGAAGGCTGAGGTGGAAGGATCACCGGAGCCCAGCAGGTCAACACTGGGGTGGCCGTGAGTATGCCACTGCAACCCAGCCTGGGTGACAGAGTGAGACTTCAACTAAAAAAAAAAAAAAAATCTATGTATAATTAGCAGCCCGTTTAATGTAGCACACATGCACAGACTTATACCTATGTAGGCAAGCACTATTTTTCAGCCCCCTTTCCAAGATTGGACATTCAGAGTTCTCTGTCCTATTATCCCTGTTTTGTTAAAGTTGTAATTCATTGGAATCTGAACAATAAATCTAATTAGGTCAATATGGTAAAAACTGTAGTGCCATGGTCATGATGTAAATGTTTTTTTTCAAGGAGGACTAAAAGGAAAAAAGTTTAATATTTTCCCATAGTTTTCCAAAAGTACAACTTGGGGGCAGCTGTTGGTTGACATTAAACATGTCAGGGTCTCAAGAAGTAATGAAACAAACATGTAATTATTAACAATATTCTCCATTATCATCAAGGATGATATTAATAGCTTAAAAAATATGTTTTACCAATGACTCAGTAGTCTTGGTTTTGGATAGCAACTTGCGATTTGGGAATGAAAGTCATACTGCTTTCGATTTCAATTCCCTGGATCACACCATACTCCCAGTACTAAAAGGAAATTATGGCACTAGGGAACTTTTCTATTTACCTCATAACATAGAAGAGCTGTTTTTTCTCAGATATAATTGATGTTTTCTAAAATCTGTTAATCACTGCTGAATCAAAACCAAGATGTAGACTTATCTGCAAAATTGACAGTGCTCAAAGAAGATCAGTAACAAATGTTTCTCTATTTTGATTACATACTATACAACAAAATAGCACAAGGCAATATATTATGTATTTGATAGTAGTCAATAGTTTGAAATGGTATCAAACAGAAGAGGTTTAGGAAACTCTTGTAAGTTAAATATTTGCAAATATGGCTAAATATAAAATTTTTGTAGTTCTTATCTTGCTATCCCATAATTTACACTTGCAGTGAAAAAATTTCTTTTTAAAAATAAATATAAAAAAATTAATTCATCAGAGTTGTGGTAGAGGAACCACAAAAAGAAGAAAAACCCCAAAATTAGAGAAACCCCAAAATTTCTAATAAATCTATAAAATGTCTTGTTTTATCTATAAAATAAACTGTAATATTTTGAATAAGTTAAATTATCCATCATCTTTACTGACTGCTTGACTATGAACATTAATAAATGCCTAATTTTAGAATAAACCCCAACATACATGTAAATATGGTCAATTCTCAAGTTTTTATCCAAATAGAGAAATAAGTGTGTTGAAAACAAACATCCTACACTTGGACCAGGTATGGTGGTGGCTCATGCCTGTACTCCCAGCACTTTGGGAGGCCAAGGCAGAAAGACTGCTTGAGCCCAGGAGTTCAAGACCAGCCTGGGAAACTAGCAAAAACTTGTCTCTAAGAAAAAAAACAAAACAAAACTGGATTTGGTGGCACGTGACTATAGTCCCAAATACTCGGGATGCTGAGGTTGCCATGAGCTGCGATTGTCGTGATCAAGCCCCTGTACTCCACTAAAAAAAAAAAAAATTCTACTGTTATTTATTCAGGGATTTAATTCATAATACATGTATTTATTTTTGGCAGCAGGTTTATTGTAATACATTGCCTTCAGATATTATTAAAAATCTGACTTGTAATTTCTTAGCAGAAAATGAATAATGATAGAAAACTGAGAAATGAAGATAGTTATTCCAACTCTACTTACTGGCAGAAACAAACCAAATTGGAATTTTAAAACTGGCTGAGTCGGCCAGGTGTGGTGGCTCAGTCTGTAACCCCAGCACTTTGGGAGGCGGAGGCGAGAGGATTGCCTGAGTCCAAGGGTTCGAGACCAGCCTGGGCAACTTGGTGAGACCTCATCTCTACAATAAATCACAAAAACTAGCCAGGCGTGGTGGTGTGTGTCTGCAGTTCCAGCTGCTTGGAAGGCTGAGGTAGAAGAATCGCCAAGGCCCGGCAAGTCGAGGCTGTGGTGGCCATGAGCATGCCACTGCACTCCAGCCTGGGAGACAAGAGTGAGACTCCAACTCAAAAAAAAAAAAAACAAAACTGGCTGAGGAGAATCCGCAGAATGATCGATTCACCACATGGATAATTGAATGTGGGTTTGATTGAATGTGGGTTTGTTGGCCACTTCTCAGAGCAGGCATCGTGGTTGAATCTGAGGTAGGAATTGTAGCTTAGTCCTTTGGCTTTATAATAAATAGCGACGAAATGAAATTGTATAGGAAAATGAATAACGTGACTAAAATAATCAAAACTGAAATTTTAACAAGACTAATAATATCTATAATATTTAACATCTATTATATGTGAGTTGTCATCTTATTTCATCTTCACTGCCAAAGACACTATATATGCTATTATTCTCCTTCTTTTATAGATAAAGAAGCAAATATTTGGAGAGATTAAGCTATTGGCAAAGGTCAGGTAGTAAGTGGCAGAGAGATATAAATCTGTCTGGCACCAAAGCCCATGCTATTAATTCTTATAACATGATGCCTGTTTTATTAGAACAGAGGTTTTTAATCTAACATCCTAAATCCAGATGTCCATGGGAAGTACAATATTACGCACAATGCATATCTATATATATATTTTCCCCCTCATTTTATCACAGACTCAAAGGGATGAGCAACCAAAGGAGGTAAGAAACACTGAACTAGAGTGATGAACAAAATCAATACAGAACTTAGAAAAAAAGAGACAACTGCAAAACATGAATTGAGGTTTAAAACTGGAAGGATATAGCAGTGGCCTTCTGGGAAAAGAACAATGACAAGATTTGGAATTTTAACATCCAGAAAGTTCTCAATGTATCAACAGCATGAAGTTCCTTTGGAGAGTTAGAACACCCTTGGGCTGCAGGAAGACAGGGCAGAAGCAAGGTGCCTCTCATTGGGGACCGGTTATTCACATCACATGATGAGTACTGTGTTCTCAGCACCACATTCCAGAGCAGCACTGAGAAATGGAATGAGTTCTATTTCTTATGAGAAGGGGTAAGAATGGCGATGGGCATGAAAACCCCAACATGTGAGAAATCATTGAATTACATGGGAATAATGGGGTGGAGAAGAAAATACATGATGGAAGATGACTGCTGCACTGATCAGAGAGAACAAGTCAAAGCCAGAGATGAGGAGGAGGCAGAGTTCCACTGGTCTCCAATGAGAAGAATTTTATTGAGTTGGGAATAAGTGATCCATGACTACTGCAAGTATTGAAATGAGGCTGTCAGTGGTAACCAAACTTGAGACTAAGCAAAAATGAAAAAACAAACAAACAAAAAAAAAAAACAAATCACCACAGGCAAGTCCTAGGAAACTATATGTAAAAATCTTGATGAAAAACAAAGTTGGTGCTGGTTGCTAGAAGACCATCTACAAGAATAACTGTAGGAGTTATTATTGCATTGAGAAAAAGTCTCAATAGAGAACGTTTACATTCTCTGTAATTTGTAAATAATAAATAATTCATACCATATAGCAATATTGGACTATCATCTAGTAGAAATGAACCCGCTGTTGGGCCAACAGTATTACTACAATGAATTTTAGTAGGAGCCTTAAGATTTCTAGAATAATTATTCCCTCCCTCCCTCCCTCCCTCTTTCCCTCCTTCCCTCCTGCTGGAGCGCAGTGGCATGATCATGGTTCACCACAGTCTCAAACTCCTGGGCTCAATAATGCTTTTGCCTCGGCCTCCTGAGTAGCTGCCACTAAAGTTGTATGCCACCACCCTGGCTAATTTTTTGATATTTTGAGGAGACGGGGTCTTGCTATGTTGCCCAAGCTGGTCTCAAACTTCTGGCACCAAGCCTCCCAAAGTGCTGGGATTACAGGCATGAATGAGCCACTGTGCCTGGCAGAATAATGACACACTTTTAAAGTATCTCTCAGAGATGCAAATATTCTCAAGTACTTTAGAAATGCCTCCATTTGAAGATTTTCTGACTCACAAGGTACAGTGACAAGAATTCCTATGTTATTAGACCTGAGAAAAGGCAGGAGAGTAGGAATTAGAGGACTGTCAGAGCCCAGAGGCGCAATGTGGGAGCGTCCCTGGTCTCTCCCACACTCTGGCCTGACTTCATCAGGGAGGCTGAGCACATCTAAATGTTACCCATGCCAGCTCTTGTGGGCCCCTGCTAGGGCTTTGTCAATACATACACAACAATCCCCACCCTCCTTACTTCACATACGAAAGAAAATGCAAGTGCTCACTGTCATTTCTGAGGAAATTATTAAGCAGTTGGAAAAGAGGAAAACTATCCCAAGAGTCTTGTGGTTGAGCCTCCAGTGCCGTATCCATATCCACTGTGAATAGAGCCCAAAACTTCTCTGCATGTTCAGCCAACAAGTCAGGCCACCAGGCAAATGCCTATAAAAGGATAAAGAACGTAGAGAAATACATTGCTTGTTAGAAACATGCACAAATATTGCACCAATTAAAAACGTTTGCAACATGTCAGTTTCACAAACACGTAAGACAACATGTAGTGTTTTTAAAAGGTGAGAAAAATTCTACAGAAATACATATTTAAATAATAAAGTTGGCATTAGTTATAAAATACGAAGTCTAGAATTAAAATGTACATAACACTTGCTCTATAAAAGAAATATATGTTCAGTTTACAACCTTTGAAAATATATAAATCAAAAACAAAAAGCTCCTTGTATCTCATAATTTAAACATAACTACTAGAAATGCTTTGATTATTTACTTCCAATATCTTTTTGCTGTGAATAGTAATATTAAAACATTTGGTATATACTCTGTAAAATTTCTCTATGATTTAAATTTTAATGACAGCATAATATTCTACCATAAGGCTATATTGTTATTTAACCATACCCCTATTAAAAAGGCTGTTTTAAAATTTTTGCTGTTACCAATGATAGTGTGATAAATATGTTTACATAAAAATCTTTGAATATAGTACTGATTATTGCCTTAGGATACACATCTAACAATTACTGGACTATGCATTTTCAAGTCTTTGTGCATTACAAACTGTTCTCCAGGAAAAATGTTTACTCTCACCCATTCTTCACCCAGCAGCCAGTCATCATTTTAAAATAAAAACTGGATCCCACTGTTTCTCTGCTTAAACCACTTCTGTAGCTTCCCACATTTATGGCAAAACCTACAACCTTAAATGACTTACAAAGCCTGGTGTGATCTCCAGGTCCAAAGTAGACTTGCATAAAGAGGGATTTCTGGACCCTCCAATGTAAATTAGGCCCTCCCAGATAGTTTCTTTGATACCCAGTATTTTTATTTCAGGGGCATTAGCACTGCTTATATGATTACATATAGAAATATTTTAATGTGTGTGTCTAAAATTAGACTGCAAACAGTATAAGGACAATATGTGCATGTTCTATTAATCACATTATACTCAGTTAAACACTATGCTTTTTAGGTAATGGAGATAATCACTTTAGAAAGTCTCTGCAGGCTGGGCGTGAGCCATCACTTTGGGAGGCAGAGACGAGAAGATTGCCTCCAGGGGTTCAAGACCAGCCTGAGCTACTTGGCAAGACCTTGTCTCTACAATTAATCAAAAAAACTTAGCAGGGTGTGGTGGCATGCGCCTGCAATTTCAGTTTCTTGGAAGGCTGAGGTGGAAAGATTGCCTGAGCCCAGCAGGTTGGGGCTGTGGTGGCCTGAGAGTGCCACTGCACTCTAGTCTGGGCGACAAAGTGAGACTCTGACTTAACAACAACAACAACAAAAAGTCTCTGCTGTTTTGGTAAATGAAAATAATACTTGAAAATAATGTAGACTTGTCTGGTTATAGTATCTATTCTGCTTTACTTTGCATCTCTTTACTTATAAATGAGTTTGAACAGTTTTTCATATGTTTGAGGATCAATTTTGTTCTGTTTTTCTTGAATTACCTTTCTGGTCTTTCCCCCATCTTTCCATTGAGTGTTGAGTAGAGTCACAGCCTTTTAACCAAATAATTACAAAACATATATACTTCTGAGCTGCAGATATTTCTGATATTCACCCAACAAAAATTACTCATTTAATAAAAATAAGATTCATCAAGCTATAAACAAAGAAGTCCACATTTACTTTCAATAAATTTCTAGGAAAATATGACATTTTTGTCTGCAAGGCCTTATTTAATTTCTTCAACTATAGATTACAACAGGAAGAGGCAAACCACAAAACAAAAAAAAGTGAACTATAAAATTTTAACACACTAAGCATTTTCTTAAACTTATGTAGTGAATATGGTCTTAAAAAAATAGATATTATAAGAACAATAATATACTCATAAAGACATTACCATGCAATTAATTAGCAGATGGTAAAGTTGACTTAAGGAAGAACAGTGCAGTATAAATAATAGGCTTGAGAGTCAGAGATATTTTATGTCTGGTTCAATGCTGTGACCAACATGTGAATGTGAAAACTTGTTGGAAATGGTATGCTCTATCTAAATTGTGCGTATTGTTCTTTGCAAATATTACCTTTGAATACTTTTTGGTTAAATATCTAATAGAATGGGTATACGACAAATATAAAAATAAAAAATAATATACATGATTTCATTTCATAGATCTTGCTCCTATCTTTTGAAGACGTAGTGGTGACAAAGAAAATGATCTGAAATTCCTCATTCTGAGTTGAGCAGCATGGAAATTCTTGTAAAAACACAGCACTGCAAAGAGAGACATTTTCATAACAGCCAATACTTTCACAAAAGGTTAAAACTAAGAAAATAACAGTCATGTTTGATCAGGATCATTTCAGGACTCTCAGAAAAATTCCCGAAGATCTTTCTAAAGTTAACTTGGAAAAGAAAGCCATGTGAGGAATAAAATAAAATGGAGTACATATTTTTAAAAAATAGCTTCCAGTTTGCAAGATTTTGCCATAAACTGGAAAATTTCATTATGTTTTGCACAACTGTATGTTTTGTCTCAAGCTGTACTTCTGTTGGTTATTCCTTATAAAGGTAAGCTTGCAGGGTTTGGTGGCTCAGCCTGTGATCCCGCGCTTTGGGAGGCTGAGGTGAGTGGATTGCCTGAGCCCACGGTTTCGAGACTCGCCTGGGCAACTTGGCGAGACCTCATCTCTACAATAAATAAAAAAATCAGCCAGGCATGGTAGCGCATGCCTGTAATTCCGGCTACTCAGAAGGCTGAGGCGGAAGAATCGCCGGAATCCAGCAGGTCGAGGCTGCAGTGACTGGGAGCGGCCACTGCACTCCAGTCTGGGCGACAGAGTGAGACTCCAACTCAAAAAAATAAATAAGTAAAATAAATGTAAGCTTATCCGTGATGAATGCCTGTTCTTATGATGACTAGAGAAAGCATTACACAATCACTCTCTTTGAAAATGAAAGCAAGAGTTGCAGTTACTTTGAGAACACGGGGTCTAATCTATCACCTGTCCCCTCCTTTTTTTTTGCCATCCCACTAGTTGGCAGTTGTCCCACCTTGGGTTGGTAATTAGATGAGGGGTTGTATGATTCCCTCCCCAGGGTACCACTTCATGAAGGATGGCTGAAGTTCTGTGGCATGGGGTCTCTACCAGGGACGAGAGGCCCTCTCTAAGAAATGCATTCATCTGCAGGACACTAATCAAAAGTCATGATTAGCTGGGTGAAAGTTATCTTGGCTCTAATGATAAGCGACTAATTAGTGTAAATGAGATGGCAGAGGCAGAAGGCTATGTTTAATTTGCTTAAGAGGGAAATATAAAATAAAACTTGAGTGTAAGTTCTTTAGCCATACCATTTCTACCAAAGTTCTAACAATAAATAAACTCGTACAGTGAAAATGATACAAATATAAAGTAAAACACATGTAGGGCAGGCTGACAATACTTTGAAAGACTAGTTTATTTACTGAATGTAGTTGAAAACAGTGTCAGGTAAGAATGAACCCTGTACTTAGAAGCAGAGTACTGAGCTTTTGAACTTGGTGGTGAGACTTGAGTGATCACAGGCAAATCAGTTCCCTGGGTGGATTTCCATTTCCCTATTCGCAAGTTGGCAATAACATTATTTGCCCTAACCTCTCTGAGGGTTGTTGTAAAAATCAAATTAATTTTAAAATTTCTTTTTGCACAGATGCAATAAATAAATATTGCTGCCAGTAATTACAAATATCTATTGAAATTCACACAAATCTTATGTGAGTTTTTGTGTTTTAAAAATAACGATGTCCAACATTAACTAGTGTTTATGTGCCAAGTACCATTCTAAAGGTTTTATAAACATGATCTTACTTAGTCCTCCAAACAACCTTTTAGGGTAGATCGTATAATGACCCTTATTTTATGGGTTAGCAAATAAAGATTAAACAACTTGCCTGGAGTTGTATATAGTTGGCAGATAACAGAAATGCTTTGAAATGATTTGAATACAGGTCAGCTGGAGTCTAGAGACCAAACTTAGACTCCACGTTGCCTATTATGTATGTATCTATCAATTTATCTATCATCTATCTATCTATCTATCTATCTATCTATCTATCTATCCTATCATCTGTGTTTTGCCGATCAGACTCCTGTTAATATCTTTGTATTTCTTCTTGCCAGAAATGTCTATTGTGGTCTGATTTCTTTTCTAAATTTTTTGAAGTCTGAAGCTTTTGATTACTTTTACCCTCAAAATGTAATAAACATTTATAATTTAAAACAAAAAAGGAAGATGTATAAATGAACAAAAACAATGAACCTGACTTTGAAATGTATTTTGTGCCTACTTTTCCTCCAAGACAAGATTAGTTTGAAGTTCTGTGCTTTGTAGATGATCCTGAAAGCTCTGGAGACAATCTAGCATCTGGGGTATCTATCCCTGCCATTGCCACATACATACAAACAGCAACATCATGCTGAGAGCCATAGTCTAGAAATATTTAAGTTCTATTAAGAGCCCAGTAGGACAGACAGGGTGACACATAAACTACTGACAAACTAAATAATTTTTTTACCACTCCTTTGATTCTCTGTTTCGATTATTTCCCTAATCAAGTTCTACATAAACATAGATATTACAATAATCAAATGAGATGATGAGCTGAAAATGCTTCAAAAACATGTCAGTATAAAGCATTACCCTTATTCATACATATTTAAAAACTAGTAAATGATTAACAAACATTTTTGGTAGAGCATTTATGCCCATGTCATGACTTTTGTGAATGACTGTTACCAATAGAATTTCACCTCTATACCTTAGACATCTCAAAGTCACTGTCAGTCATCCTCTTCCAAAATGAGGAAGACTTGTTGGTCCAGGGGCTGATGCAACCTTAAATTTAAACCCATCTTTAAAAAGTAGGTTTCTCTCACTGATGACCCAGATTTAAATGCCACGAAATTGAGATCATTTCAATGGTCAAGATTACTATAATCTAGTTAGTACTAGATAGTAAATGGATTTTGTTCATGGACATTTCTTTTGTATAACCACACTCTAAGATATTCTTTAGACATGCATGCCAGTGGAAGAGAAATAGGGACACAAATAAGCAAAACACAAATGAAAAAAAAATCAAGCGTTCTTTCTCTTAACATTAGAATTTAATCAGAAGCATAATTTGGTTCCAACACTGGTATTTAGGGAGATATGCTTCTGCACAAATTTGTGTCCACACTAAACTCTCTCTGTCCCAGCTATGTTGCTGGGGGAAGCCTGGGACTGAAGCAGCTCAGGTACAGGATGAAACAACTGTTTGCAGTGAAGTGAGAGCAGTCTGCATGGCAAATACCAAATTGCTGCAAAACAACCTTCTTGTCTACCGTGTCATGGAAATGGTGGATGACATGATAGAATATTTTAGGGACCTTAAAATCAGTTTTTTGCTGTAATAATAAGCATTAAAGCAATAGCATGAGTTGCGCTTGTGTTGTTCATGTTCTGTCCCTCTCGGTCCCTGTACTAATATTCTCAGGACTCCACCTGCCTTAGGCAGAGTCCTGGGGTATGCCATCGTACAATGAAGAATGAGAAAGAACAGAAAGGGACGTCTCCAGGCTTGCATCATGATCACTCCCCCTACTGAAATCCTTTATGTCAAAGGAGTCAGCAGAACCAGGGCAAGATAATTCTGACCAGTCTACTTAAACAGAAAAATGGTGTGATTTATTGGAAAATGTTCAGGTGAAGTCTGGTGTGTGTTTACCCAGTCACCGACTAGCTGCATAGTTCTGGTAAGTTGCTGAACTTTTCTGGGTCTGTTTTCTTAGCAGGAAAATGGAGTGTGTGGAGGAGGTACGCTGCTGAGAGCCTATGGCTTTCCCAGCAGGCATTGGAGACTTCCCAGCTTTATCAAAGAAAGTGGCTTTTGAATAGAAAGTTGTCTATTTTATAGAGCTGTCTATATTGCAAATACCGTTTGCCTAAAATTTCTGGCCAGATGTGGTATAGTCACTGAAATGTAAAGACAGCCTTCAAGATTTTCTGGAAAGCAGCTTAAATTATCTTTCTAAGAAGAAAACACAGGATTTCTGAAAAAAGCCTGAGAGGAGAGGTCGAGAGGCCTTCAGAGAAAAAGGAAGGCTGCCTTATAAGTAAGCTACTGCCAAAGATCTGAAGGACATGAAACCTGCTTAACTGAGAAATTGTTGAAGGATAGAAACAACCTCTTAGCCCTGTAAAGTAAACTGCCACTGTGGAGAGAGGTAAAATGAAAATAAAAGGAGCTGACACGCAAGCCACTTGAAGGTCTCTTTGAGGCAGATACATTAACCTCCACCAGGGGAGCTGAGCTCGGTGCTCTTTCATGGAGTAGCAGAACTCTGGCTTAAACATCCAGCAAAATAAATATCAGTGCAGACCACAGTCTACCAATTCACTCTGGAAATGACTTGAGAATCAGACCAATTCACTCTTCAATATTGTTCAGAGAAAAATTTAGATTTTTCTGGTTTTTTTTTAAAGACAAAAAAAATTTCAAAGACACAAATCAGAACCAAAAGACCAAAATCTCTTCAGTCATGTTTTACTTAGATGGGCATCAGTAATTATGCACACAGTTATTAAGAGGCCACATTCCCCTAAATGGTAGAATAAAGACTAGTACTTTCAAAGAAAACTGGACATTATTTAATTCCAAAGAGAGGTCAAAGTAGGTTTTTAAATTAACTACAATCAGAGTGTATTCTACCTTAAATTCACATTAAAGCATTGCCCCATGCTAGGAAAAGAGTGGAAACGATTTTACTCACCTCTCTTCCCTGAGGGTTTTCCAAGAATTTGGAAGCATTGTAGAATAGAAAAATGCCATAGTGTTACAAAGCATTTTTAAAAGAGGTCATCACAATAATTCCATATTTCAACATATAGGAAAGTGACATTTATGTACTATGATTATCTCTTTTTAATAAAGCCAACTATTTGCAGTCAACAGAGAGCTGTCTATATTGCAAATACCAAATTGCTGCAAAACAACCTTCTTGCCTATAGTGTCATGATTATAATATAGTTAAACTAGAAAATAAGTAATACTTACATTTTAATTGTGTTTGAATACATTATACTTTAACAACCATCTTCGTGACTGCATGAACCATGATAACATTTAATTTTTAGTTTTTATAAAATATATGGGAATGTTAGATATATCTATTTTACTTAAATATATACTGCAATTAGATTTTTTAATTCAAAAAGCTTAATACTCTGATGATAATGCCTTTCAACAAAAGACAAAGATGAAACACACAGGTATTTTATCATATAATCATTTTCATTGTAACATAGCAGTGGCACTACCCTTGAAAATAATCTCCTGGGAATTCATTTCAAATTATTGAAGCAGCTGTTTCTTCAGTTTAAAATAAAATATCCATAACAAGTTCACACATGACAGATGTAAGCTAAAAACTAGATTCCACAGTGCGAGCTAAAAGCAGATGTTTTGAATGATCATATTTATAACCAGATACAATAAATCTTAGTTACCTATAGTAAGAATTCATAAATACGCTTTTCCAAGAATTGGCTTAAAATGTAGTTCCTGTAGTTTCTTATATTTTTGAGAGAAGGCTTCATTCAATTCAGTACTCTGTAAATTCATATGTATCAAGTCTTTTTTATTCTTGCCCACTTCATGTGCTTCCTCAAGAATAAAAGCACTGCTTAAGGCACTGACATTTATTAAATTTATTTGATTCCACATATTTACTCCATCCAACTCAACGTCAGAAAACCCTTCTGCTTTTGTAAATAAACTCATGGTTAGTAGAAAGAGTGAATATTTTAAGACTTAGAATAAGCAGCTAGTTAAGCAGTTAGTGAGTTAAGACTTAGAATAAGCCTGGTGAAAAGCCATCTCTAGTGAATGCTAATTGTAATTTGAACTTTTTAAAATTATAAACACTGCAGGTTAAGTGAAAACAATTATAAAAGCAAAAACACAATTATGAATGTCTTCTATTAAATTTTTATTTTATAGTTTATCACACGTTCCTTTTTCACGTTGATTAGTTCACATTTCTAAGCAAAAGCAATGGTGGCATGGGGGGGGAACAAGTGATCTGGCATCATAAGATGGGTTTGTGTTCCTCCTTTGCTTCTTACCAGTTACACATCCTTTAATGGATCCCATAAGCTGTCCTGTACCCCTGACAACATGATTGTTGTTTCCAGTAGACATGAAATAATACACACATACACAATACTTCGTAACATATAGGAGACACATTTCTTAAAATTGCACATACATTCTCAGTGTATCAAGACCATGATCAGGTCACCTCAGTGTTGCCCCCACCATGGCAAAGCATTATGTCTAGTTTTATACTACAGTTAAAACAGGTCATCACCTCTGCGTGATGCTCTTCATTCTGCTGTAAGACTTCTATGCAGAGCTCTGCTAGATGAAGAACCTCTTCCAGCTTTCTGGCAGGAGTTGCCTGGTTCATGGTCTCTATATTACAAAAAATAGTATAATAATGTTACCTTGAAAATAAAAAGCCAAACATATTCTAAAATGTAATGATGAGACTAGGGTGTTGAAATAGAATGAGAAGGCATATTTCAGAGAAACAAGAGATGCAAGAAATACAAGTGAATAGTTTATTTAGGAAAAAAACAAACAAACAAACAGTTCACCAGATTGCAGAAAATATTTCACCCACAAAGCAATCACAGGGAACTGCAAGTGCTTTGCCATTTAATATATAAGAACAGGTGCATCAGCACATCAGATGCTCAACTCCTGCAACAAACAAGTTATAATTCTCCTCAAGGTCAGCAGCACAAAGAGAGCAGATACCACAGTCTTTTCTTTCTCTCTGCATTGTATTATCAATACAATACCATTCTCACCAGATGAGTCATTCCTGGCATGAGCAAAACCCATGCTTCTTTTTTCTTTTTGGTTGCTATTTAAATTCCTATTCCGAAATGTCCATAGTTCATGTTGATCTTAAATTCAAGAAGAACAAAGTCACCTAAAACAACGCTGACAGCCTACAATTAACTGATTTCCTTCCTTACTTCTCTGCCACCAACCCACCGCACCTTCCAACTGGGGATTGGGGTGGGTGGGAGGCAGAGGAGGCAGAAAGTATTCTTTGAAGCTGAAGATACTTGCAGCATTAAGCCAAATTGGTATAGAAGGGAAAGACCACAATAAGACCAAGTGCAGTTACCTGAAATTCAGCAATAGAAAAAGCAAAGCAGTTAATTTCTAACATCCAACACACCAGCGGAAATTAGAGGTGCCCTGTGAAATGAAACTGTTTCAAAACGATATAAAGAACAGTTTCCAATAAGGACAGTAATTATAAATGTTGTCTTAGATTTGCAGGCTCGCTCTCTCTCTACCCCAGTAAGAAGGTTGTGAGGAAGGAAAATCAAACTTTTAGTCAAAGAACTTCTTCTATGGAATTTAATGGGCTATTATTTTACCCTGCAACAGATTTTTTCCTGCACTTCTTATAAAACTGAAGCCTTGAATTTGGAAGAGATTCTTCTATTTGCTCTATGCTAATGTGTATTCAAAAGATAAAATGATGCAGTAAAACACCGCTTAGACTGATGCTTACTCATTAAATATTTTTCATATTCCCACTACAGGTCAGACATAGTACAATGCAGCGCCATGGGGTTCACGTCCTCTAATCCCCAAGCCACACACACACCCTGCTATATTCCTCTGTGGGATGGAAAACCATTGCTCCCCTGTGTAAAGGATCAGAGTACAACGATTCTTTAGAAAAATCAGCTTGTCACAAACCATACAAGAGATGTGAGGAAAGACTGCTGAAAGTAGGTGGGTTTAGGGGAGACATCAGGAAGGTCAGCCTGAAGCATAGTCCTAAAGGAATAACAAATGGTCTGGGTAAGAAGAGGAGGGGTTTTTAGAAAAGAGGAGTTGTAGGACACAGGTGGGATATATTTTGCAGGAAGGAGATGATGACGATGGTTACAAAAGTTACAGAGCCAATTATGTATCAGGCACAACACTGGGCACTTCCCAATGTGTTATCACACTCATTTTTCCTAACAGCTTTCAGTTAAACATACATAGAGAGATGAAATGTAATAGCTACAAAGTGAAGGAGAGACCTGAATGAGAGGTGAGCTCTTAACATCCACGTCCTGTACCTACCTGGCTGGAGTAAGAACGAGCTGGGGAAGGATGGGTGATATTGGCAGCCTTTAAGTAAGATAACAAGTAGACTAAATGAGTATATCCTGTAGATACCTTGGGGCAAATGTTTCTTAGCAGAGTCTCAGAATAAATTGATTTTAGGAAAATGTATTTAGTGGTTGTATGCAACAAGGGTTGAAGAGGGTGTGCAACATGGATTCTGAGGGTCTATTTTAGTAGATAGTGAACTGAAGGAAGATGACTGTGGGAAGAGAAAGGAGAGAGAACATGCAATAGACACTTAGAGGAAGAATTTGTGAGTCATTGTGAGTGACCAGAAACTGAAGGCCAGAGAGGAATATGACTGAGGTTTGAAGACTATGTGGCTAAGAGTACGATGATGCGTGCTGGATGGAGCCAGGGACTGGATCTTCAGTCAGCCATCCCATATATTTTAGCACGAATTACTACATAAGCATGATTTAAAGTAAATTAAATATTCCAGACAAAAAAGATATTATACATTGTAAAATCTGTGCACACACACAGTTAGGTTATTTTAATCTTTGCCTGGCAAACTGTAACTCACCATTCCAAGCTCTACTTAATGTTGCCTGAAACAGAAGACCATCTCAGAACTTTGGGGCTGAATGAGTTTCTCTTCTGTCTTAGTTCCTCCATTACAGGCTCATGAACCTGACTATCCCTAGGTCAAAGTGAGAAACTGGGTTTCATCCATCCAGTTAGTTTGTGCAAGCGTTTGACCATGGCAGGTATTAAATAAACATTTACTGAGAGGGCTGCAGAATAATTATGAGGGAAAAAACATGTTAAAAACTCAATCAATACCCAAATTATTTTTATTTAATCCTACATGAGAATGCAAAGAGTTCTTTTATCACAGGTACATCGAGTGTGGATGAGAGAGCAACTCCACAAATAAAATGCAGCTATGTCCTCAGAACACTGAGGACACTACTCAAATAACTGGTGAATGCTTCATCCTGAAATTACTAAAGAACAGTCTTCCTCAGGAAAAAAAGGACATCTTCAAAAAACAGTCTTCAAAATAACTTTTAATTCTTAAGAACATATCACTTGTCTTCTTTAATTCTCAATTTTTAGAAGAAGAGTATTAAGTTGAGGAGTCTTAACCCAGGGGATTAGAACTAGGTTTCAGAGGGTTCTTGAATCCCTTAAAATTATACACCAATTTGTGTGTGTAGAGGCATTGGGTGATGGGGGAGGGGAAATAAAGACCATAACTTTCATCAGATTCTTAAAGTTGTCCATAAACCAAACAAATACTAAGAAGCACCAATCCAGGTAATTTTTAAGATTCCTTCTAGCTGAGACAATCTATATTTCCTATAAATTTCAGACTTCATTGGGTGGGTTACATTATCTCAATGTACTTATATAAGTGTATAACATGTTTTCCATAAGGAAAGGGAAAGGCAGAAACATTTATTTATTTATCACATGTTAGAAACTTATTTTTCCAACATACTTTGGTACATTATTTACTGAATCTTACAACCACTCTGCAAATTTGAGGACCATGCCCCCCTCCAATTCTCAGTTTTGGAGAGTTTGAAGAAGGTGTCTAAGGTCCCATATCTAATGTCTGAGATGAGATTAAAATCTTATCTTTGATGTCATACAAACAACAATAATACAATGACTTGAATTATTTTTCATTTTCAATTCTGTGAATAAAAACCACATCCCCTCATATCTTTAGCCACAAGTATGGAATAATGGAAAATAATTAGAGAAACAACCTCAAAACTTATTTCTGTTTGTGGGTGAATCTGTCAAAATCAGCTTTTACTTTTGACACTATCTTAAGTAAAAACTTTGAGAGTACCCTATGTACTAGTTCAATTTAAAAACATTCTCTTCTTCCTAGTTTAAGTTTATTGAGAGGATCAAAACTTTGTACTTGAACATAATGGCCACTCTAATACTTTAAATAAATAGCATTTTTATCAAGTACACTATGTATGAGATATCTAGTTGTCACCCATTTGGCGAGAACCAAGAAGTTTAATGCATTCTATAGTCAGAACTCTATTAGATAAGACAAGGTTATCAATAGCTCCATTAAAAATCTGAACACTGTGAATATTTGAGAATTCCTCCTTAAAATGTTTTCTTTCGCTCATTTTGTAATGGTTCCAAGGCATTACAGATGTCTCTATATTCTTCAAGTTTCACACCAAGTTGCTGATTGTTGTAATACATTTCAAACAGTGATATTTAAAACAAATATGACAAAAGTAACAGGTTTCTTGATGAATTTCAGTGCACTGCTCTTGGCTATGATTCTTCTTCATTCTAAACCATTTTTAGTTTTCTGTGATAACACTCTTTGGCTCCCTGAAGCAATTCCTTTTAATTATATCTCTGTATATTTAAAAAGAGATCCCATGGGTAAACAGGTAGAGGGGGTGGGAAGATGTAAGAACACAGTTTGGCTGTTTGCTTTGGTGGTTTTCATTCTACTCCATGGTTTCAGAAAGGGGTGTGCTCCCAGTACATTGTCCTGGGCTGCCTCCCTTGCTGCCATTTCCTGTTAAAGGATGTTCACTGTGAAGGTTGTACCAGAATGTGGGAACAAGACCAGAGATCATTTCCTTTTTCTCCATATATGATATGTAAAAATTTGCAATGCTTTTGAACTTTTTATTTTAAAATGCTTAATTTACAAATGAAAATTATATATATTTAAGATATAGGCTGGGTGTGGTGACTCACGCCTGTAATCCTAGCACTTTGAAAGGCTTAGGCAAGAAGTTGCTTAAGCCCAGGAGTACGAGATCAGCCTAGGCAATATAGCAAGATATTGTCTACAAAATAACAACAACAAAAAATTAGCCGGGCATGGTGGTGCACATCAGTAGTCCCTGCTATTCAGCAGGTTGAATCAGAAGGATCACCTGAGCCCTGAAGTTTGAGGCCATGGTGAACCATGATCACGCCACTGTCCTCCATCTTGGAAGAGTAAGACCCTGACTAAGAAATAAAAAAGATGCCGGCTACTCGGAAGGCGGAGGCGGAAGGATCGCCAGAGCCCAGCAGGCAGAGGCTGCGGTGGCCAGGAGTGGCCACTGCACTCCAGTCTGGATGACAGAGTGAGACTCCAACTCAAAAAAATAAAAAAATAAAAAAGATGTACTATGTGTATATTTTGTGATGATTATCACAATAAAATTAATTTTGAAAAGAGAGCAGTTTTAAAAATTATTATTTTAAATTTTAGATTTATAGTGTATGTTTATTACATGGGGATATTGTGTACTGGTGGGGACTTGGCTTCAGATGAC